CAAATAGATCAATCACACTTTGCTAACCGCATGCTGCCAATTTAAAATTGGAGAGCGCTCTCCATTTCATTTGGAAAAATTTATAGAGAACTCCTTGTTGGACGACATCGTAAAAATTTGCCACGGAGAAATGGTGCGCGGGTTGAGCTCGACGGGAATCCTTGACAGGGTTTGAAAGCAAGCCCCGGGATAAACTGGTGAGCGCTTCGTAGTGATGACTGAGCTGCGGAACGACCTGAAAGTGGAAAGGAAAGCAAGAGAAATCTTTGGGAACGCTGAAATTAAGGCCTTAACCTTCAATAAGGTCGGATGTGGTACGATGGCGAGAAAGGGCGGCCAAAGAAGACAAAACACGCAAGAGATCACGCCTGGGACGCGTTGAACCGGGGGATCGATGGTCGCAGGTTCTCGTAAGGACTAGCGCCCTAACCGCGCAATTTTCGCGAGAAAGCTGGGGTGATTCAAGTAGATAGGGACCTTACAATTTCCCTCGCGGTATCCTTCCCACAAGTCGGGCTAATCATTGCCTTCAACGGCATAAGATGAATCCGTGTCACTGGCTAACAGCTCCCATTCTTGTTGGAATAGACATCACGGTAAGGTGATAGTTTTCGACCTGAGATACCCTCGAGCCCTGGATGGGAAATCATAATTGGACCAAGCAACATGGCGGAGCTGCGACTCACATAGACAGGGAAAACCGAGACTGATGTCGGTCTTGCAGCTGTTTTGTTGCTACGATGCGAGATAATCATTTGAAGGTACATTCGACAGATAAGGGGACTTGCGAGAGGCATTCCCACCGCGTCTCCGCCACGTAGACCTTTGTAGAAGCACTCCCAATAGCTCGGTCGAGAGGACCTCAGCCTTCTGGTCGCGCACATCAAGCCGCAAGGAGGGCGCGTTTTCTACCTTTGTGGAATGTTCTGTCGTACCCACAGGAGAGGTTTTGATTTATTCGCCCCTTTACGGGACCCTCTCCGTCCCACCAGAGTCGATTCATTGCTACCAGACCTCGCTGTGGGGATAAAAATCCTGACTTGCACATTGGCTGGCTTCCTCAAGTAGTTACATGGGCTAAATGGCACTTCATTCTACCACAATTTTGAATGTTATATCATTCGTTCTTTATCGCCAAAAGGACAAACGGTGGACTTATGTACAGCTCTTTAATGTTGACGAATGGTGAGTGTTAAGCGTTTCAGGAACCTTGTTAAAAACCTCTCCAGACACTTTCATCACCCCACTACGGGCATCAGTTTGGGGAATAAACAACAAAAACAGGTTCCACTAGAACAACCAGAGATGACAACGACTTTTAGAAGTTTCGTGTTCGTTGTGTACAAAATTTATAGCCAATAAAATTTTGCATGCGTAATCGATGAGCACGTCTTGTAAAAAGCGGGAAGGCTTTTGGAAACATTTTGCAGACTCTCACCAAAACTCGTTCTTGATGGCGCAATGTTCTGGAAGAACTGCACCAGGTTCTGGCAGGTTTAATTCGTTTATAAAACTACATGTACAATAGATGAGACAAAACAAACATGGACTTCAAGACTCATTCGAAATACGTTCTCCAGTACCTGGAAACCCGAAGTTTCATTCTCCCTCGTACGCAGTACTAGCACAGAAGGTTTTGATCTTAGTTTAAAAGCATTGATTGTCTTGAATTATTCTACACTTTGCTGCCGGCGTAGAAACTATCTTCGGGTACAAACGAAGGGTCTAAACTGTGTGAACGGATGGGCCCGGTCCAACGGTCGGGATATCGTTCGGTGAAATTTTTCCAGAAAGGGCGCGCTTTTATGACTTCAGTTAAGAAGTAAGTATTGACACAATGCAGACGGTTAGGTTGTATTATATTTTGGAGGGATATGGAGGGAAGAAAATTTTTAGAAGGAAATTATTTTTACAGTTCGTACAAATATCCAGAAATCTTGAAAATTTTTGTTTTGCTTTAATAGTCACGTACCCCTCTAAAGACTCTTCGGAGTTTTGGAGGCGGACCGAGTTAAGTGTGCTAAGGTAAACTAGGTTGAACTCCGCCATGGATAACCACGAGCCATACTGCGGTCACGCCGGGGATGCCTCACGAAGCGGAAATCATCTTGTTTTCCCACGCCCTACCATTAACCCTTAGGTTTGATAGAGCAAACTTATGGGGGGAGGGATACTCTGGCACAAAGCCTACATTGCCCATTAACACATCACACCATTTATTCCTGCTGAAGTATTTGATTGTTTCGGAGCAATCGAACTGAAATTGCTCTTGTGGTTTTTTACCTGAGTTGCTCGTGTTTTTTTAACAGTTTCTGACTTTTCATGGTAATAGTCACTGTAGAGTTCTGACATGGATCAATAGCCCAACCTGCTGTAGCGGCTCGCTTCTTGAGAGAAATCAAAAACCTTTGCAGCCCCTCTCCTCCAAGTTGCAGTGCCCTATTTTATTAACTCGTCGAAAAAGAGTGGCGAAACTTTCTCCACAATGCAACTTCAAGAACAAAAGCTATGTGATTTTTGACGTCTGTTCCTTAATACCGCTCCAACCCAAGCTCACTCGAATTTGCCAAACTGTGCTTTTTGACATTCATCAAACTTTACTCACCATTAGTGCAACATATCCTCGTCATGATGGCCGAATTAAAGCGACAAAATCCACCATTGCAGTCATCGTCTGAAGAACACTGGAGAGGTTCTCCAGTCGTCAGGAGAGCAACGCTGAAATGACAATCATGTGGAAACTCCAGATCGCTTTGCAGAAAAAACCTACGGCGTGAGACGCGTGACCGCATAGTTCGAAGCTAGAAGGGCGATTTTTGGTGGGGTATGATTGCTGCAGCATATCAGAAAGCCTTGTGAAGAGCTAATTACAGCACTTCTGAAAAGTTCAGGCTAGACATATGTACGATATATGACTTCCTGACGGCACATACTGACCACTGCAGGTGATATCCTCTTCAGACCCACATATCTGTGGCCAGTTGGGAGGGTTAACGTATGGCTCCGGGCATCGTAATGCTGAAAAGCTTCACTTTGGAACGAAAATAAGAAATCAGTTCTTTCTACAAGTGGGGGCTGAACCCAGAAACCGTTGTAGGATGTGGGGAGCACGAGCGCGGTTCGAGGTGAGGGCTTAGGGCTGCGGAGCAGTGCAGCTTCAGCAAGAGATGGCCGGGGGGGGGCGTCATCGGAAAAGGTTCGTATTTCCACCGCATCCATAGAAGACGAACTGTCGACATGAGGACATTGAGATGTCATAGAAGTACCTACAGAAGAGCATTGTACTTTTCCTTCCTTCAGTTCGAACATATCTGTGGAACCGTGTTTTTCTTTCATTTTTTGCCGTTGACTTTTAGCAGATCAGTTTTGAAAGGCCGACTAACAGTTATGTTTTCTTCAACATAAACTTTCTGCCTCATTCTGCTTAATTAGCCGTAACATTAAGAAAGCGCTCAAAGAAGTTTACGTAAGCGACAAGTGGGACAACGAACCATAGCCGTAGACTAACTCCCTTTCCTGTAACACTGCCACGCTTTTCTATGGACCCTCCCCCTCTCCCTCCCTGGACCCCCTCCTATAATATTAGGTTGTCCCATAATTAGTGAATCACTTTGGGTATTTTTGAATTCAAATTTTTTTCTTTTTCATATGGAGTCTTTGCTCATCCAAACATACATCCCTGTCATCTACAATGTATTGCCTATACAGGGAAATTTTGTCGCTGTCTTATCTCTAGAAATCCAGGAGCTATTGATCGAAGAAAGATCGGAAGTCGAGTTTGAGGTCATGTCACTTAGCGTAAAATTCCTCCCTGGGGAAGAGCGCTAGAGGTCAGAACTGAGTTGCCTCTTGTTGGCACGAGGATAGGGCCACACAGAGGAAGTGGAAGATCGGCTAGCCTTGAGAGTCTCCAATTTTTTATGAATATTCTCCGCAAGGTGGGTCGAACGACCTCAGGAAAAAAGCAGACTTTGTCTTGCTTTACTTTCAAATTGAATGCGCCGCCATTACGCTGTAGATGTTGATCTTCTTCAGTGACTCTAGTATTACTGGGCGGCGGTTCCCAGCGCATGGTCACTCTCGTGCTCCACCAATATCTCTGAAGGGTCGGACTAGAATGAGGTTTGGCTTTTGCTGTCAGAACTCCCGAATCGTTCACGCTAGGCTACTGCTCCTTGGAGATTTGCTAGTACACTTCACCCAGTCCAGAACCCTGGTGAATAAGCTGGATGATCACTGTAAGGAACTAAGGGAGATCAGAAGGAACATGATGATGTCAGATCGTGTGTGGAGCTGTTTCGGGCTCAGAGCATACAAGATACAAACTAAATATTTTAAAATCTTTACAACTCTACGTAGATGTCTACATTCCATCATTTTAACAAGTCGGACATGCTCTAGCAAATGGCGACTAGTTTGTCCAGATCCACCCTCAGTGGCGCTGGGTACAGCAGTGAGATTGCCAGTTGAGGGGTAGTTGGAGTGTGCCCTCGCCTATCTGCTGGTCAACGGAAAGGCAGCATGTAAATGGGCTGAGTAATTGCTCAGGTAGGATAATGTGGGTGCTACTTCGCAAAACATGTTTCACGCCTTCACCATTTTTCTTGGATTTTTAATAACAATAAATGTAAAGTGATTCACTAATTATGGGACAACCTAATATTCATGGTTACGTAGTGCAGTATAAGCGACTACTGAGATCTGGGAAGCAGTGCCGCATGCCTAGCAGCCGTGAACTCTGGATCAGGCATAAGAGGAGGTCAAGGTGACGCGTGCCGCCTTCCCCATATCCAACGAATTATTTTAGATGGCAATGCATTGTAGAGTACAGTAATCATCGCTTCATTCCCTTCATCGTCGGAAGGGTTCAATTCTTTAGATTAGTTCAGGTTAGGCTTCGCCGCGATTAGAGCCAATGTTTAAGTTCAAGCCTACTAAATTAGAGATGTTCCAAATGGAGGTGGCCTGACCTAATCGAAAAAATTGACAACCACCCCTCCCTTCCTCAAATCCGGAACACTTATATCCATACCTTGTCATGGTTGTAGGCATAGAGGAACCTCATTTAAAGGGTCTGAAGCCTCACCGTCACGATGAACACAGTGTAGGGTGTAAATATTGGGTATATGCATTGATACGTCCCATTTTTGTGTGGTTGGAACTTACCTCACTGACGCTGGTGATGTGGTGCACCTCCTTCCAGCATCCATAGCACTGCTACATATCAACCCTAAAATTTTAGACCTTAGCGACCTTAGCGAATGTGCTGCTGCAACTCGAGCGACCAAACCTTTCTTGGGGAAGCATGCGCCTCGAAAACAGTCAGAACCGAGAGGACAGTTCTTAGTTGCACAAGAGTGTGATTCGTCAAAATCACGTGGTTTCTCAGGCCGACCTGCATCAGTGTCCATCGATGTGAGACAGCAAACACCAACAGAAGAAACATGGCGCGATTTGAAACACTGTAAAATGGTTGCGTAATTGTTCATAACAGCACTCTGAAAGATTCTGTCGCCAATTCTCTCACACTGTCCACAAGTGCATCCCATACTGAAGCGATACAGGTTTCAGCCAGCCATAGAAAGTCCTCAGAGCGTGATTTTTACCCCTTTTTTACACTGTCCACTGTTTTTACTCTGTATTCGCTAATGGACACACACTACTATTACTTATCAAAAGTGTCGAACATTGTCACAACAAACGTCATCAGAGCGCTGCGATCAGCTGACCAGATGAAACTTCGCCTTAGAAAAATTAGGGTTACAATTTATGTAAGAAACAAGCGATCCCCAAAGATGGTGTGCCGGCGACATGCATTGCGGTCACGTGGACAAAGCTTGGACCAAAACCCGTCTAAGAATTTCTCCCCACAGCGAATGGTCTCTCCAGAGCCTGCTTTTCGTGGATATGGCAATAGAAATGGGCAACACCCAAAAATTTTCGCCACAGCAATGATCTCTCAGAGCCTGCTTTACGGTGGGATATGAGCATAAGAAATGGGCAGGGGGTGGTGTAAAAGGTGGCATGTGGCGACAGTTTCGCGCGCCCGGTCTCGGTATCGATCTCGGATCGGATCTAGCCAAGGCACACGCCTTCCATCACTATGGTTGGTTAATCGATGCATAAATTGTCGGAAAGGTAAACTGGCAGACATTGCAATAGGCTGACTCACGCAACTTCATGTATAGGTCAAATCACTCCATACAAACCGATAATGAATAAAGGTAGAATGATGGACGTATCAAAAAAGTAAAACAGTCAAAATGGTTTATCTTCTATTCTTTATAATGACAGCGGCGGTTGCCTGGTCTGCGACTCGCCACATACTCAATTTGCAGAACTGATATGGACCTTTGCATCTAAACCATAAGATCACAGGAGGATTTGAAAAACCTAGCGTGTTTCACAAAGAATGCTGGGTTGTGAACAAAACTTTCGCCCCAGGCGGGACTAGAACCCGCACCTCTCGCTTTCCGGGCAAGTGCGCTACCAGTTACGCTACCGGGGCACCATTTCATTCCCAACTCAGCTTTTCATGGTATACGTACCATAGCTTTCAGCACTCACACGTCTAACGTGTTGAGCCGGTTAGCCGATATCGGCAATGACCGCGAGGCTGAAAGCTTTAGCAATGATTTTTGACTTGTTTTTGGTTGTTAGTGCCGTTTACATTTTAATGGTTGTCGACTTTTCCGTGTCGACGATTCCTTCATACTTTCATCTTTGGGATCTTCTTTCTCAGGTAGTATTTTCTTCGAAGCTAAACGGTATTTCTCAAAAAATAGCGTTCGGATGAGAGGTTCAATAAATTGACATGCCAATACACGTTTACCCAATGAATGAATAGTGGAGAAGCTTTAGAGATATTTGTTTTCTTTTTCAAATAGCAATCATAATGATAACGAACTGCTTAGAAGCGCCCTTATTTATAGCACAGGACAGTTTGGACATGAATATCATCTACATTTTCGATAAAGATGGCAGGACTGGCAAGAGAAAAGGAGCAGTTAAAATGTAAATGTTGAAAAAGAAGTGTCGCCATTTTGATGTCCCCTTTTGGTACTGATACAAAGCACAAGACGAGAGCAACTACCCAGTCTCGACGAGGGGTTAGACCTCAACCGAGAGGAATGAATGCTGAACAATTACACTATCAAAGGCAAGCAAGCTTGATCACACTTCACCTGTGTGGGGTGATTTCGAGCGCAGCCACCGTGACTCATATTCGAATTGCGACGTTCCACAAGGTGCGCTTGAATAGCTCAAAAATGAAACGATCCGAAAACGAAATTTGTTAATTCCCCTACGTGGAGCGGCTGTGCGCGCCTAAGACAGGAGGGGCATTCATTCTATGAGAGGCTTGAATTGAGTTCCAGTATAGCGATAGAGTTTTAAACAGTGTTACAATTATGAAACTGAACTGCGCGATACAAGGAAGTTGTCAGCACGGCCTAAGGTGGCTGAGTAAAGCACTCACATAAACCGTCTGGCCCAGAAGGAAACGCCACGGAGCAGTGGTTGGTGCCTTTCGCTCTTACACTGGAGGCTCATAAGCTCTACTCCCTTAGAGTGTAAATCCAGACAGCTTGCCACTAATCCACGAGCGTTTGTGAAGCCTGGTGGTTGTAATGTTTATTTCCAGCCAACTTTGACTGCTCACAACTTCCTTGGCAGGTTCATTTTGCAGTTTTAGTTTCCATATTTGTAATCAGCGTTTGAAGCTCTATCGATATATCTGGGTCTCATCTCAAAGTTCCATGGGAAGTTGAATGCCTTTCCTGGTAAGACTCATGAGTAGTGAGCGGTCGGCGGGATGCGTATAAATGCCACAAAAGGATTTCAAAATGGTCAATGGGGTATACTCATGGAAATCCACGCAAATGGACGTGTAGTGGTTACGAAAAAAAAGAAAAAACTCATCAAAAGTGGAGCACTCGCGGACTGTGCCGTCCATAATGTTCCCTTCATGTTACCCCTTATAATACCTGTTAATCATAGTGAGATCTCGATCAACAGATCAAGCTGGAAAGCCGTTTGACTCTAAAAACTTTTGCTTAGCATATTGAGCCATTTCGTAAAGCGCTGTGAGAGTACAATGCGATTCAAGGGCAAGTCCCGGGATAAACTGGTGGTAAGAGCGCTCAGTAGTGATGACTGAGCTACGGAACGACCTGAAAGTGGGAAGGAAAGCAAGAGAAATTTTTGGAGAACGTTGAAATTAACCTTCAATAAGGTCGGATGTGGTACGATGGCGAGACAGGGCGATCAAAGAAGACAAAACACGCCGTTCGAGAGAGCACGCTGATCTCTACATCAATCGAGGTGGGTGGGAAGCGTTGCAACGGGGGTCGATGGTTGCAGGCCCGTAAGGATTAGCGCCCTAACCGCGCAATTTTTGCGACGAAGCTGGAGTGATCTAGGTAGGTACGGACCTTACAATTTCCCTCGCGGTATCCTTCCTACAAGTCGGGCTAATCCCGGGGTTTGCCTTTAATCTAATCCCTAGTGCCCAGAGTGTGAAGAAGTTATAGCGACAACACATGCTCATACAATTCGAACCGATACTCAGCGCTATTTTTTCTGTCCTGTAGACCTGCTTATACTTATTTTATTTAACCATCAAAATCATGATTGCTACGGCTCTGTGATTCTGCCACCGTTCCCTAAATCACTGAACTTCAACGTTGAGGGTTCTTGACAGGCGAATTATTAGCGTTTTGGTGTACATCCCGAGCACTATCAATAGATACACCAAATGATACAAGGAAGGAACGAATACAATCATTCTGAATGAGAAGGAAGTGTTTCTGTG